ACTCCTCAAAGGTTGATCTACATAGCAGTTGGCACCATGCCCAGCCTCTACAGTGGTTCTGGCCTCATTACTTGTGATTTTTAATTAAAAAATAAAAAGACAAATGTCAAAGTTTTTTCAAAAGATATGGGCAAGTAGACATTGTCACACTTAGTTCTCTTTCCACCTAATAAACTAAAGCTATAGCAATGATTTCTATTCTTAGAATTATTCATCGACTTTTAAAAATTTCAATTGTTTCCCTTTCTTAAAGAAAAACCCACTCATGTTCAAATATTATTGTGGTAGAAATTTGAGGCAATTCTAATGACGCGCAGTTTGCCTAATTTTGTATTGTTTAACATTCATGTGAGATTCTGGCAGGATAACAGTCCAAGTGATGGAATTACAATCGAAATGAATTCCCTGTGGGCCGAGTGGTGCCAGACTGGCTGTGGGGACTGAGATCTGGGGATAAGTTAAGAAACACAGCCTGCCCCACCCCTTCGCTTGGCCCACTGACCTCTCCTCCATACCCCGCTCTGTGGGAAGACAGAGTTCCCGGCATTACTCGAATCTACGATGCCCCATAAAAAGACTGCTGAATGCCGGCCGGCTCTCCTTCACCCCCTGGGCACTGCCCTTTTCATTTATGGTACTGTTACGGGACTAATGAACTCCAGATGTGGTTTTTATGGCCTGGAAACTTCTCTCTCAGAAATGAACCTGAATTGCCCCCACCGACCCATTTCTCATGTGCTGCTGAGAACAGATAGCCAGGGTATGCATTCGTTCTTTCCCTCACTCCCTCAACTCGTGACTTACAAAATTCAGGGTCTGTGGGGTGCCTCTCTCATTGGGCGCTGGGCCCAGAACCATCCATTTCCCTTAGAAATTTTAAGACTAACCATTTTACCACCTCATAAATAAGCTTTGGTTGTACCTTATACATACTTTTTCAAAATTCTATGATAAATTGTATAGTGCTTTATAGTTTCCAAACAATTTTTACATCTGTTAACTCATTTCACATTTACAAGCATCGTTGTGAGATCATATAAGTCATACTGGCTCCATTTTAAAAATGTAGACAACTGAGTAAATCTCCTGTAAATCTCTGGACCTCAGAGTCACACAGCTAGTAAGTGGAAATTAGATTGTAAATCTTAAAAACCCCAGTTTCCTCTGCTTGTTATTTTTCTTCCTCTTTTTGCTGTTGTTTGTTTTTATTTTAATGGGCATCTTTTAACATAAAAGCCAGGGTTATTGTGGTAGGCACGTATTTCCAGCCTGATAACTTAGGGACTTGCAGAAGGGCGTAGAGCAGCAAGGCTGTGTCTGAGATGTAGAGGGGAAGAGGCCTTAGGAAAATTGGGGCCAGTGGCTTTTATGAGACCACCAAGTTGATTTTGTAGCCTTGTGACTTTTTGATGCCATGGCAATAAACTTTTTTGCTTATATCATGGCGAATTTTATGTCTCTCAAAATAATTAAAGTCGATTCTATTAGTACCAGCAATTCACAAATTGAACTCAAATCTGGTACCCTGGTTGGTCATGATGTTGTTTGAAAATGATTCTTAGATGTTTAGAGGACAGTCGGCTTAACCTTTCCCCCACCTGAGATTTGTCCTTTTTAAGGAAGGCTCTCTAGCTCTGGCAAGAGAGCAAGACTGTTGTCTCAAAAGAAAAAAAAAAGGGAAGGCAGTGTCTGCTCTCTGCCCAGACACACCCATGTCTGCGGATGGCCTCAGACAGAGCTGGGGAGCTCACTCTCCCTAGCCTATGTCCAGCACTTGCCTGTACTCAGTTTACCTCTTCCTTGGGATTGGGTACCCTCTGCAGGGTACTAATCTGGCAGGCGGTGGCGGGGGGACTCCCTACCCCACCCCACAGCTCCCTGGGGGTGGCTGCCTGCCTTTAAGGCCAGGACTAAAGATATGAGGTGGAAGTTAAGGAAAAACACAGTGGATGGAGAAGAAGTAAATTAAAGGGAGACCAAGCAAACAAGATGTTTCCATGTTCCTCTGCCTTGGAAAGGAATTGAGTTAGCACTGACTGAACTGTTCGTAGGTCTTGCCATTTGAAGTCTAAAGTGGGAGGGAGCTGGAGAGCTTCCTGAATGTCTCTTCAGTGTCATCACTTACATCTCAGTGTTGAGCTTTTAGAAATCCGTGTACTGTCAAGAATCCCTTAACCTCCTCCGTAGGTGTGTTCATATCTACAGAAGACACTCCAATTGTATTGAAAATACATTATAGTGATATTAGCAGCTAAAGTGAAAACTGTTAATTATCTTCTGTGATCCCAGATAATGAGAATGTTTCAGTAACATACCAGAGACACATAAAACATAAGAATAGTTTGATTTATTTGTGTATGTGAGATGACTAAAAAGGATGGAACTACTCTCTCCACACCTGGCAGAAGAGGGCTTCCCCGCAGCTCTTGCTGTTGCATGTTCTATTCGCATGAGCTGATGTGAGGGAAAGGGGGAGAGGACAGGTGCCCTAAATGAGTTTACTACAGATGTGGTCACTTTTAAGTAATTGACCTCAGCTGGATGAGTATACTTTTAATCTATTTTGTTGTCTTTGTCAATTGCAGCGAATATATCCTGGACCTACTAGAAAGTGGAAGAGAGAAGTTTCTAGTGTTTGCACATCATAAGGTGGTTCTGGATGCAATTACTAAAGAGCTTGAGAGAAAGGTAAGTTCCCTTTGAAATTCAGCACAGGGTGCTTTTGTTGTTATGTGGCCAGTTGTTCTGAGTAGGCTTAGGTCAGATCTAAGCAAAGGGAGATGATGCTTTCTGGAAATACTGCTAAAGACTTTCTGAAGAAGAGTTCTTCTTACTTGTAGAACCACAGTGAGGTCAAAATATTTCCCCAAGCTGTGTCATTTTAACTTCATGCTCTAGACAGATATCCCAGGAGTCTTGCTTTAGGAACATCTCCCAGTGGCTCTTCCATTATTCTGCATGATTAATTACAAAATTGGCAAGAGAGGAGATAGCAAGATTGTTCTCTTGTGTGGTGACAAGTATTTGTATGAATGCCCTCTTCTTTTCCTTCCTTTTATTCATCATTACTGCCACAGCACCTTTATTAATTGCACATGGCAGTGTGCAGACTTCAGTACAGGGTTTTCTGGTGCTCATGAAATTGAGTGAAAAATATCTAGAAGGATTTCCAAGGATGTTCATTAAGACTAAACACATCATATTTTCACTCCTTTTTCATTTTTGGTTAACTTTAGAACCATAAATTGCCTTTTGTCTAACTTCATTATTTATATCTATTAATAATATGTGGACATACAGAAGAGTTCAGAGAAATATACAACAAATACCTATGTATCTCCCACCCATGTTTAATCCATGAAAAGTTTTACTGTATTTATTTCTAAGGTTTGTTTTTTAAGTAATAACATACTTAGGCTCCCTCAGTATACTAATTCCATTCCCCTTCTTCCCTCCCTAGAGATAACATTACTTTCCTGAAGGTAGCGTGTATCCATCCCCTCCGTATATATTGTTATACTTTACTCTAAAAGTATATATCCTTAAACAATTATAGTCCCCTTTTGTGTATTTTTTAAAAAATTCTAAATGTTAATAAATGGTAGCATGGTATAAGCATCTTGCAATTTACTTTCTTGCTCAACATTGTTTTTGAGATTTCTCCATCCAGAATTTCACATGTAGTTCATTCACTCTGCTGAATAGGATCTCATTGGATGACTATTGTGGTTTATCCATTCTCCTGCTGATGGACACTGTTTTATTTACAGCTTTTGCTATTAGTGTGAATATTTTTGTATATGTGTATATATTTGTGTCTGAATATTTCTGCATGCCTTGTGTATGTGCCTGGCATGTGGGGTTATGTCCAGGTGTGATCTTGCACAGTTATTGAACAGGCTGATCTTCAGCTCTTCTGGGTATTTTCAAATTGCTCTCAAAGGTGGTTATTCATGTTTATAATCCCACCAACAGCACATAAGACCTCCTACTGTTCTAAGTGCTCATCAACACATGGTATTATCAGACTTTTTGCTTTTGCCAATCCAGTGAAATGAAATTTCATCTTATTCTCGCTTTAATGTGCTTTCTCTGACTACCAGTAAAATATGTATTCTTTTATGTGTTTATTGGCCATTTTAGCTCTCTTCTGTGAATATTCTGTGTGTATCCTTTGCCCTGTTTTTCTGTTGGATTGTCTTTTTCTTATTGATTTAGAAAAATTCTTTTATCAATTCTGCATATTAATCTTTTATCAGTTATGTTTGTCTTTTCACTTTGTTTCTACTAAACAGCGGTTTTAAAT